TCGGTCCGAGGTTCGAATCCCGCGAACGGGATGGCTACATGGGTGTTTTCGTAGTTTTCCCCATGTGTAACGTGTATACGAGCCAATTTCCCTTAGAAAGGCATCCCTCCTCTTAGGCAGATAGCCCTAGTGTGCTTTCCCATAATTAAATACACCACTACCACACGTTAATAGATATTTTTATAAATATTTTCTAATAGATTATAAGGTATTTCTCCCGCCTTCCTAGCATGTATTCGTGGTGTAGTGGTTCTGCACGCTGAACCGGTATTCCATAAGTCCGTGGTTCCATTCCCAGCGAAAGCGGTTTCTAATTTTTCAATCTCTCTTGCTTTCAAAAAATCCTAATGTCTCTACAAGATAATGGAATGAATGTAATTTAATGTCAATTTTAAAAAAATGTATCTCTTTATATTAAGAGACAGATTTATGGCTCTAATTTTTCTTTCGCAATTAACTGTTATATAAGCTTAATTGTTTTCTTTATACCATTTAATGTACATAACTGAAATATTTACTTTCAGGACAGGCATACGCACACACTCACACATACGTAATAATAATAAATCCTTAGATATACAAGTAAAAATACAAAGAATATTCTCTATTACATTTTATTGCAGCACAGCAGATTGTAAAATCATTTTGGAAATGAATTATGTGTCTCTTTTTGAAAAAAATTCAAAATCAAAATTCTCTTTTTCGAAATCTTTTTGCATACATGTACACATATATGTATGTTCTCGCATGTGTTTAAAACAACGGTACCTAGAGCCATCCGATTTTTGAATAAGGTACGTCTCCACCCGAATATGGGCATCTGGAAGCCCAAATTTGGATTGGATTATTTAATTATGGCAAAGCACACGAGGGGTATCTGCCTAAAGGGAGGGATGCCTTCGTTTAGGGCTTTCTAAGGGAAACTGGCTCGTATACACGTTACACATGGGGGAAAACCACGAAAACGCATGCAGCCAGCCCATTCGCAGGATCCGAACCTCAGACCGAACTACCAGTGTTCAGCGTCTTTACCGCTCGGCCGCTGGTGGGTCCCAAATTTGGAATTTGGAAGTTTTCTTTATTTTCTATTTCATATTTTGAAAAAAATTTAACGAATTTTTGATTAACAAACTCAAAGATTTAAAAAGCGAGCAATGGCAATATTCTACGGGGGGGGGACCTTTTTATCACCAGCGCGCGAAACTGTGTATCAGAAATTCTAAAAGATATTCTCATTTTAAAATTATTTTGCGATATTACTGTAGAAACTGAATTTTATGGTTTAAGTGCGAAAGAACATGATATTTAATAAAGATTGACAACACACAAAACTTAAAAAAAAAAAAGGCCCCTTTGGACGTAATTTAATATTTGAAAACCTTTCAGATTTTTAATTTTTTTTTAAGATCCAAAGGGACAGTTTGCCCTGAAAAAGACTATTAATTCGTTTTGGATTTTGTGTTGGGAAACTTTAAAAGGGTGCATCACTTTTCAAATCGTTGCCACCATATATTATCGCTCTGTCTTATATTTAAAGAAATTATATAATGAAGAATCTACATGAATGCGTGTATGTTCCTCGCATTGTGATAAAACAACGGTATAGGCATTTGGAAGCTCCTAGTTTGAATTCGAAATTCGTTTTATGATCCAATTCGTATTTTGTAACACTTCAAAGAATTTTTCATTAACAAACTAAACGATTTCAAAGTGAGCAATGGCAAATACTGTACGGGTAAAAAAAAAAAAAAATCTCCAGCGCGCGAGACTTTGTATCGAAAATTCTAAAGATGTAGAAAACATTAGGTTACTTCGAATGTAAAGAGATGTGAAAAATAAGCAATATCCGCCCGCCGGAAATCAAACTAGGCACCTCTCGAATATGCACCGAGCGTCCTGACCACTACACTACGAAGGCATGCTAAGAAGGAGGGAGAAATACATATATTCTCACCCTTTTAAAGGGCGACTGGGGATTTGGGGACCCAGTTTGCCAAATCCTGTCGGTGGAGAATCATTGTTGTGAGCTCCATGATTTATATTTGGTAACGACATTCAATCAGCCGTTGTGTTCCATTTTAGACAGATTTTTTTTTTTTTTTTTTTTTTTTTTTTTTTTTCAGTTTGGCAACAGTACAGAAAGATTTGGAATAATGTTTTGATTTCCTTAAGTGTGTAAGAAAATAAAGTTTGGCTTTCTTAAGCAAGAAAACGTAATTGTTTATTTAAAATATTTCTTCTCACGTGTTATAGAACGGAGTCAAATTTAATTTAAAGGCTAAAGAAACGACTGAATGTGAAAACAATATTCAGGTAGATTCAACGCAACAATCATCATCTACCATCTTTTTTAGTTCAGGCGCCATTGTATAGACATCAGGTTGTTTCGAAGCGAGATGAAAAATGAGCAATGCCTTCGCCGGGACCCGTAATACGGACCTCTCGAATACACGCGAGAGTGCGGACCACTGCATTACGAAGGCATGCCAAGAAAGCGGGGAGAATACCTTATAAAGATATGCTCATTTTTAAAATATTTTGCGATATTGTTGACCCAAAATGTTCAAAAAAACGCCTCTTGGAACGTAATTATAAAATCTGAAACTTTTCAGATTTTTTTAATTATTATTTATTAGTCCAAAGAGGCAATTTTCCCAGAAGGACTATTCATTTCGTTTTGGTATTTTGCGTTGATTCACATGCGTTGTTTCACTTTTAAAATTGTTGTCACCAAACACAAGTATTATCACCCTGTTGTATTATATTTAAAGAAATTAAATAATGAAGAATGTGCATGTAAGTTTCTCGCATAGTAATAAAAAACATAAGTACCTAAAGACATCAAATTTTGAAAACGTAATCCTCCTGAGAATATGGGCATCTAGAAGTGCAAATTTGGAATTTGTTTTATTATCGATTTCATATTTTGGTAAAACTTTAAACGAATTTTTTATTAACAAACTCAAGGATTTCAAAGCGAGCAATGGCAACGCGTACAGAAAAACAAAAAAATAAAAAAAATAATAATAAATTATTATCTCAGGTACGAAAAAATATCGGAATGTATCGGAATTTCTAAAAAATATGCTCAATTTAAAGTTATTTGCAAAATAGCTCCTGAACTGAATTTTATGGTTTAAGTGCGAAGAACTTGGTAAAGGTAACACACAAAATGTTAAAACGACGCCCTTGTGAAAGTAATTTAAAATCTGAAATCTTTCAGATTTTTTTAGTCCAAAGGGTCAATTTACCCAGAAGAACTATTAATTTCGTTTTGACATTTTGCACCGCTTCACGATAAGCGTTGTTTCAATTTTCAAATTTTCGCCACCAAATATTATCTCCCTGTACTATATTTAAAGAAATTAAATAATGAAGAATCTGTATGAACGTAAGTATTTTTCTCGCATTGTGATAAAACAGCGGCACCTAGAGCCATCGAAATTCGAATAACGTAATCTTCCATAGAATATGGGTATGTATAAGTCCTAATTTGAATTTGCAATTTGTTTATTATCGATTTCATATTTTGTAAACACTTCACTGTTTTTGATTAACAAAACTTAGAGATTTCAAAGTGAAGAGTGGCAACAAATGTACGAAAAAAAAAATATTTTATCTCCAGCGCGCGCCGACTGTGTATCGGAAATTCTAAAGATATGTTCATTTTAAAATTATTTTGCGATATTGCTGTTGAACTGAATTTTATGGTTTGAGTACGTAGAACATGATATTTAATAAACAAAGGTAGCACGCAAAACGTTAAAAAAAAGGCCTCTTTGGACGTAATTTAAAATCTAAAACCTTTCAGATTTTTTATTTAACTTTTTTATTTATTTTCATCTTTCCTGATAGCCTTCCGTAGGCTCCATCATTTCTAATTTTAAAAATTAAACCCTGACTGCAGCCAACGATTGCGAAAATAAAAGCCATGTAAGGAAGATGGATATAATATTATATATATAATAGACTATATTCCTATAGTTTTATATATATATATATATATACTTTTTGCATTTAATTATAATTTATTTAATATATATATTTACGTTTGATAGTATCGGCGATTGCAATAAAAATGGGGTGGTGCACATCTAGATGTTACAGCGGTCCCATATACAAATTTTCAACGTTCTACAAGTAATCATTTTGGAGTTATGAGAAATGTATAACTACATACGTACACGTCATGAAAAAAATCCCTTTTAAGTATCAGCTTAGAATCATATCCCTTTAATCCTACTTAGCAATCCGTTTTGGGGAAGAAAGAGTCCTTCATTGTGTCCGTACGTACATATGTCACCCAAAAAATTATCCACATGGATTATATAATGGTCAAAAAATGGATGTTTCCCGTAGAATATGATGCCCAATATTTTTCGCGATTACAGTACGTACTTCCTTTTTAACTTCGTACAAGTAAGTAAAGAACGTATATTGACCTACATATCTTATATAAACAATACCTAAGTGCAGTATATAAATATTTCAAATCAATAAAAATATCCCAATGGCACCCTCAGAGAAAATCAATAATTATTTAAATTATCCAAATTTTCAAAATTACAAACATAATATGCACTATAAATCTTAATGTAAGTACAAAATAACGCTTCACGCTGTCAAAAATGGCTCATCTTATTAAATATCATCAACTAAGTATTTATTTCAAACTAAAATAAAACACCATAATATAAATAAGAGTTTACCCGATGAATTACACAAAAAGTACGAAATTATCAATAAAAAAAATATGCGCGCATTGTGACGCAACAGGTATTGTTAGCAACCTCATCATTCGTATTCGAACAGCAACCGCATTCGTATTCGAACAACCGCATCATTCGTATTCGAGTAGAAACCGCATCATTCCTACTCGCATCGTATGAGTAACGAAATGGATGTGAGTAACGAAATTGATTTGTGAGTACCGAATCGGTACTTCGAGTCACCTTCGCAACCGATGTACCCGTTACTCGGTAACGAATACATGCGGTTTGCTCCAGCTCTAAACAAGAATGACATCATGTTGTCATTATGGCAAGTAATGTAAATACAAATAGGTTGTCGAATTACTGCTTCAAACTAATTTTATTAGGGGATTACAATGTGGGGAAAACTTCCATGTTTTGCCGTTTTAAGAATGCTGAGTTTAAAGAAGATACGAAGCTGACAGTTGGAGCAGATAATCATACGAAAGTAATCGAAGTTGATCAACAAAATGTTACCGTAAGTATTGAATTTCGTGCGTTCAAGTGTGTTTCGTAACCATATACAAGAGAAAATGATTGCCTATTACATTAAGTCTCAGAATACTTTAGAATGTTTGTTATCAGTTTTATGTTTACAGTTAATAACTTCTAATTTAATGCTTCAGACTATTGAAATAACGTTTGTTTATAATGCATATTCATCTCTGCTGGTGTAACACCTCTTTAAAAAAATATACGCTTCGGTAATTACATACTAGGATTAAACCCAAACTATTGTTAACTATGTTTTGTTTTAAAAATTAAATGTTTCATTGGTCAGTGGTAATTTTGAATGACTTGAGCATTTACCTGTTTGAAATCCCAACTTAAAATGGACTAACCTGATAGTGCAAAAGTTTCTTATGTTCCATAGTTTGCTATGAGAAATGAAAACTTGTATTTCTACAGATTGTTATATGTACATATATGTACTCAAGACAAACATACATAAATGTAATTTCTGAATATAATTTGTAATCTGATCTACAAAATCTCTTCTTCCTTTTAGTTTTCAGATATTCTTAATTTATGCAGAATAAATACATTAAAATGCAGACGAAGAACTGCTATGATATTAGATATAATAATAATTCATTAATTTTTAAATTGGTATAAGATACATGGTAGATCTATACCTGTGCATACTTTTACATACGCTCCAAAAAATGTAACTTTTATTTTTATTTTTATCCCATAGTATTGGTTTTGTTATGTTGTGTTAATTTGTTTTTATTATTATTTTTGTGCTACAGCATTAATTTCTTGCTGCTATAGAAAGAATATGAATTTATTTATTGAATTTTGACAAAAGTTTTTTTTATTATAATGTATAAGATGATGAATGATTTAATTAAAAATGAAAGAGATGGAAATGATAATGATATAGATGACAATGAAGTTAATCTTTATCATATTAAATACTAAACTTTGAATCTGCAGCAGATTATTGTAATAAAAATTGAAGAATAAAGAAAATAAAATTTTGAGTAAATAATAAATAAGCATTGAAGAATGTTGTAATTGTATTTTGTTTTTCTTTGATTTGTACAAAATTTGATATTAATTTAATAATCTGCTATTGATTTAAAATAAGAAGAGGATAAAATCCTAGTATATGGTATGGGTTTGGCACGATTTTAAAAACTGTCGGCAACACCAAATGATGCATTTACATGTCATTTGGAATCACAAATGTTTACATTTGCCCCCAAAATGGAGCATTACCATCAGTTTGTATCGGCAAAAAATGTAAACAGAAAGATAATCTGAAAATGATAAATCCATAAGCATACAGAGACATAAGAACAAAAGCAAGTGTATGAAAATTGAAAATAATGTTTAACATACATCGCAGCAAATACAAAAAAAAAAAAAAAAAATCTACATACCAAAAAATTTTGCATTTCTATATTGATCATCCATTCCACTGCTCATCATAAACAAAAAATACACTATCAAGACTAAAAAAAGTTCCTCAATCAATTGAATAAAAATCATTTATGCTCACGATTTCTCAAAATCACCTGTGCACAGTATATTAGGATTAAACTAGAAAAGAAAAAAATATAATCCCTAGAAATTGATAAAACTAAAGTCATTTACGCTGCCGAATGTAAAATAGCTATACAATTAACAATGACAACAGCAACAAAAAAAAAAAAAAAAAAAAAGGGAATAACCCATTATTTTTACCTTTAAAAGAAAACAGTAACCCATCAAAAACTGGACAAATGCAGAATGTAAACTTTATTCATCTCTCAAATTTCGCCAAATCACGTAGTGTGTACCGTCTACTAGGACTAAGCCACATAGAGAAGTAGAAGAAAAATTTACAAAGCATTAAGAAAAAACAGCTATCAAAATTTGTGGTATGTTCAACATCTGTTTTGTATATTGACACAATAAATAAGCGTGTTCTTCTTTTAAAAACATTTTAATTGGCAAAAACACATACAAAGATTAATTTGTATTGTAGCTATCAAGATGTTGCTCATTATCTTTCCAAAATATGCAACTGTGTGACTATGTACAGATTCATATTGAATTACAAAATTTGTGATTTTTTATGTGGTAATACATTTGCCGTGAGGAATCAATCAATAAATAAATTAGAATAATTGAAAGTTGATTTTTTTAAATCTTTAATGTTGCTCTGTTATATTCTTTGGTAATTTACTAGTAAGAAACATGCTTCCATTTATAATTTTATTACAACTGGTATGTCAAGAGAGTTTCTACATAACAATTTATAGATTTTAGCAGAAAGTGAAATTTCTCTCATTATGAAAAGCATTCTTGATCATCTTCAGCAGGAAATAAGTACATGACTAAGTGATTTTAATTCCAAATTTGGATTTTTTGCTGAATTTGAAAATATATTAAATAAGCACAACGTTGATAACGATCTTGAAAAGGATTATGAAAATTTTGGTGAATTTTCTAATACAGATTTTAATAGAACAGAACTCTATTTCTAAATATGTGACTGCAAGATGTTTGCAGCAGAAAAGAAATTAAACCTAAAATTCCATTATGGCATCTTACTTTTATGATCTCATATGGAGAAATGTTTTTCCAAAGCTGAGAGTCGCGCTTTAAATACTTCTTGCTGGTTTTAGTAGCATGAATTGCTAGCGGTCAATATTCATTCAGGAAATTAAAATTATGTTTGCTTATCTAATCTTTGATCAATGATAGGACAAGATCACCTAAAATTTTGAAATAATTGATAAAGGAATTGATGAATTTTTTCATCAAAGGCTAGAAAAATGCATGCATAGTAATTAATGTATTATATTATTAATAAATATATCTACTTATATATAATATATATTAACTTTTCACATTGTGTAAAAACTGTTTAAAACAATTATATAAATCTGCAAAATAAATAATATCTTTTTAACTAATTCTAAATGTCTTATGTTAGATATGTCTGATTTTTTTCAATGCCACAGACACATTTCCAAATCTTATCTTAGTCTTGATTTTTTTTACTAGATAGTTTTGTCTCAAATTTAAAGCCTAACCTGAGCCTGTTATCCCGAAAAATTGTATACCGTTTTGTAGAAGTGTAGTTAGGTAGTAACTATTCGGAATATATTATAGAGTATTTTAAGGCAGATGCTGCATTTTATTAATATTTGTTTATATTCTTATTATGAGTATATTCTATATATTATATTACTAGATTTTGGGGTTGGGGGCTCCAAAAAGGGATTGTGCCCCGGGCGCCACTTATGCTTGTTATGCTACTGCAGTGGTGGTTTCAAATGCAAAATGCAGCAAAGATGTTTGGCATTGGTGAAAGCCCCATATGTGAGTGAAAGGAAAATGAAGTCATTGTAATTAATACGCCAAAGAATAAATGTGCTTTGCATAAAGGAGTAATGAAATGGGCTAACCTAGAAGAAAGTGTTGCAAACTGGGCCTTAGAAACTAGCCATAATGAATTAATTGTAACAAGAAACAGTATATGTTTATTTGCCCTAAAGTGAGCCAAAAAGAATGCGAATGAAAGCGAAAACTTTAAAGCAACTTTGAGTTGGTGTAGTAGATTTATGAAACGAAATAATTTAGCTCTACGAGAAAAACAAAAGTTTCTCAAAGGCTTTAGTTTCAAAAGGTTTGAATAATAAGTTGATTAGTTTCCAGAAGTGTGTTATTGACCTATAAAGGCAAAAATTTATTTACTGTTACATATTGGAAATATGGATGAAACTCCAGTAATGTTTGATATGAAGAAAATAAAACAATTGTGAAAGAAACAAAAACGGTTCAGCTGGTCACGAATGATCTCACTTCACCGTAGTGATTTTCTGCTTAGTGGACGGTTCAAAATTAAAACCCATAGTTATTTTTAAAAGAAATATGATGCCAAAATTTAATATCCCAAATGGTGTTTTTATCCATGTTCACGAGAAAGGATAGATGGACAAAACGGCATGAAATTGTAGATAAGATATGTTTGCCGAAAGTGTCCTTTTCCCTTAAAGAATCCAGAAAGTCTCTTAGTCTGCGAATGTTCAGATCTTATCTGATGGATAATGCAAAAAAATTACTGAAAGAGTGTAATGCATACAACAGAGACTTGAATAGGCTGGCCATCTGACCAGAAAAAATGAAGATCGTTGCTGCAAGAAAAGATTTATCTCGCAAAGCCCAAGCGAAATAGACCTCAGGACAGAACCCCAATAAAATGGATTGTTGTGTCGAAAAAGATCTTAATATTTTAAAGGTTAAAAATTGGAAAACAGTTACCAAAAGTAGAGATGCCTGAAGAAAGCCAGGGCCCACCCAGGGCTGTTGAGCTATTGAAGAAGGAGTAATACAGACATCGCAGTTATTCCAGGCGGCTTAACGTCATTAGTTCAGCCTTTAGATGTGTGTATTAATAAACCATTCAAAGAAAATTTAAAACAGCAGTGGAATATGTGGATGATAGAAGGGAAAAAAACATTTACAAAAGGAAGCCAAATGTGTCATGGCAGTTTAGAAATAGTGCACTAGTAGATAATAAAAGTATGGAATGGAATTAAACCCAACATAATTCAGAAGCTACTTAAAAAGTGCAGTATATCTAACAATCTAGATGCAAACGGAAGATGATTATCTATTTACGGATCAGAGTAATAGTGATTGTAAAAATGAAACAGAATTTGATGAAGTGCCTGAAAACGTAACAAAAGGTAAATATGATGAACTTTTCATGTTATCCAATAGTGAAAATTTTTAACATCATAAGGTATGTCATTTCTTTCAAATGAACATCTCGTATTAGGTACATATAGAAAGCTAATTTTTTTATGCTCATTCTTTATTTTTAAATCTATCATTTTTATACCCCACATATAACGTACACCCATAAATTTCAATCCTATTTTTTGTATTGAAAGTGCTCATTGTACGCTTGAATATACAGTATATAGAAATGCAAATATTTTGTTCTTTAGTTTGTTTACAACTATTGAATATGAT